CTCAAGGAAAGCTGCAGCAACACACAGATAACACCGAGGCAGCTCTGTCTAGCAGCATCTGAAACCCCACAAATAGGTGGTGCGTGTTGCTGCTGCTGCTGCTGCTGCTGCAGCAACAGCAGCAGCAGCAACTTCGCCATACACCGAGAGTCACTTGGTGGCTGCCAGCAGCAGCAGCAGCAGCAACTGCTCTTTCCAGGGGCCTCTTTTTCGTGTACAGCAGTAACAGCAGCAGCAACAGCAGCAGCAGCAGCAGCAGCAGCAGCAACAGCAGCAGCAGCAGCAGTGTAAAGGGTTGCTGTCTTGTAGCTGCTGCCGCCCCGGTTCATCCCGAGTGTCTGCAGCAGCAGCAGCAGCAACGAGCTGCAGCAACTCAGACCTTATGAGCCACCGAGCCTAGCAACAGCAGCAACAGCAGCAGCAGCAGCAGCAGCAGCAGCAGCAAGGGTCAGCAAAGCAGCAGCAGCAGCAGCAGCAGCAGCAGACAAGTGATCTGCTGTGTAGAAGCGAAGCAACGAGTGTGGCACCGCAACTGCAGCAGCAGCTGCATCATACGAGTGAGCAGCAGCAGCTGTTGCGGCAGCAGCAGCCGTTGCTGCAGCAGCAAGATGAACGTCAACAGCAGCAGCAGCAGCAGCAGCAGCAGCAGCAGCAGCGCGAGCCGGGTCCTCATGGATCGCGCCACCTTCTTCTCCTCCCTCGCCGCATTCCACTCCGAGCGGGGGCAAACCCTCGCCCCAGACCCTCTCCTAGGGGTACGCTCAGCAGCAGCAGCAGCAGCAGCAGCAGCAGTAGCAGCAGCAGCAGCAGCAGTAGCAGCAGTAGCAGCAGCAACAGTAGCAGCAGCAGTAGCAGTAGTAGCAGCAACAGCAGTTGTAGTAGTAGTAGCAGCAACAGCAGTAGCGGCTGTAGGTGTAGCAATAGCAGTAGCAGCAGCAGCAGCAGCAGCAGCAGCAGTAGCAGCATGAGCAGCAGCAGCAGCAGCAGTAGTAGTCGCAGCAGCAGCAGCAGCAGCAGTGGCAGTAGAGTTAGTAGTAGTAGCAGCTGTAGCAGTGGTAGTAACAGCAGCAGCAGTAGTAGGAGCAACAGCAGCAACAGCAGCAGCAGTAGCAGCAGTAATAGTAGCTGCAGTAGCAGCAGCAGCAACAGCAGTAGCAGTAGCAACAGCAGCAGCACTAGCAGCAGCAGCAGCAGTAGCAGTAGTAGTAGAAGCAACAGCAACAATACAATCAGCAGCAGCAGCAACAACATCTATGCTGCCAGCAGCAGCACAATGAGTAGCACTCGCAGCAACACAAGCAGCAGCAGCAACACAAGCAGCAGCAGCAGCAACACAAGCAGCAGCAGCAGCACAAGCAGCAGCAGCAACACAATCATCACCATCACCTAAACAACCATCATCATCACCACAGTCACCATCATCATCGTCTGCAGCAGCAGCAGCAGCAGCAGCAGCGCAATCAGCAGCAGCAGCAGCAGCAGCAACACAACTAGAATCGTTATCATCATCAGCAGCAGCAGATGTATACATACATACGCACATACACATATTTATGCTTATATACACACCTATAGATATATGCATAACATATAAAACATATATATATATATATATATATATATATATATATATATATATATATATATATATATATATATA